AAAAATGAGAGGGTATCCAATCCTCATCGTCGTCCTACTAATTGTGTGGACAGAATGCAGTTTTGGAAAAGTAAGAGGGAGTGTATAAATTCACAACCATCGTCAATACCGGTACATGCGGTTTTGGCTAAAACCTAATCCATAGCTTAGTCTTTTTTTTTATCAAGAAGATGGACTCAAAAATGTAATTCATATTCATATACGTTAATAAATGAATAGTGTGCGACGAGATGTAACTTTAATATGTAAGTAGGTCACCTTGTCAATTGAGCCATCAATTCAGTATGCTTAAACTGGTCATTGCCCTACTGTGGTCTCCCTAAATTCTTAAAAAAGTCCCAGTGTTTTAACCCATTCAGACCCGAATTAAGCCTACTATCGGAAGCACTTTGCATTTTTTAGCTCTTTAGCTATTGTAATTTAAATCTTTATGTTTTATATATCGTTTTTAAATCTTGTATAAATGTACCATATCATACCATAAATTATATATATGATATATTTAATTATATAACTGAAGATTACAAAACTGACGGATGAAAGAAGGCCTCTGATGGAATTGAGCCATTCATAATTGCACCCATTGTAGCGTAATATGGGGCGCAAGGTCACAATCATCCCAAGAAATTGCCATAGACGCAATGAAAATGCAATGTCCATTGGAATGGACGCCAGGTCTGAAAGGGTTAAGAAAGGAGGGACCAAAGCTGTACACAGAACGGGTCATGGATTGTCTCATGCAAACTAAGAACAGGTCAGCTCTTCATGCCTCATTCCTAATCCGTGTAGTATCGTGTGTTGGGTTACCCTGAATACCAGGTGACTCAGAACGTTTCCAAATTCAGAAGCCTAAAGAGGGAAATCGATAGATGATAACGAAAGGAAATGTTCATGGGGTGACACAATATGAGTAGGTAACACCGTGAACATTTCAGCAGAATTTATCCTTTTCAGGAAAATATCTGGAAATTAGCTACACATGTGACACCGATTACATTTACTACAGATGCATTCCATAGAATTTCATCCGTAATCGTGTAAGGTCGGGAACTTCTGGGCGTCCAATGACAAATGACAAATTTAGTTTAAATTTGTCATTCCAGACGTTATAAGTTCCACGTGGACGGAATATAAATACATAATGGTTCGAATGGGAGAGCCAGCCTGGAAAGGATTGTCAAAACAGAGGGAATGAAAGAAATGAGAATGATTTAATGCTGGAAGTAAATCTTTCGAGGGAGAATGGCTTTACGAGATGTATGGATTAATTTTAATTGCCCCAAACAGATTGATCAAGCATCTCAAACTAGGCGGAATAACTGATAAAGTGGAAAGGTCTCTATTCATTTTATATATATTTTTTTGCATTCATCATTCATCCAGTCCAGCTTGATTCCTCATAATTTCCCCTTCGATGCGATGTCAAAGTGCAGAAATCCCCTCGCTGAATGCTAAATGCACAAAAGACGTGCCTCTCCTTCCTTGGAACCCAGCAATAGACGATTAAGGTCGATTCCCGTCCTTTTTTCCTTCAGACTTCGACCAAGAAAGCTCTTTCGGTACCGTTAGATTCATGGGCAATGACTCTATTTTTATTATTATAAGAAAACACTCCCTACTCTCTCCACTTCTGATTCACGCCAAAACCCTTTCAAGTAAATGCATGAGCAAAGAATCCCATGCAATTTTCTGAGAGCCATGCGCTCTCGTCAAATATTCCCCCCGTGAAACAAACCGGTTAAGGGTTCAAGGTTGTATATTTTAATGAAGTTGAAGTTTGGCCAAAATGCCATGCAGGTGCAGACAAACTCACTAGTCTTGTATTCATTAAAAAAAAGTATTACTTTGGTACATACATCAATATATATAGTGTATTCATGGTAATTTTTCGTACATATAATTCATTCGCGCATTTCTGCTCAGAAATATGCGCTCAATTCCATCCCCGAACCGAGGAGTCTCGCCGATTTGGAGGAGAAGATGTCAACTATCATGGACAAAATTACGGAGCTTGCGACGGACAACGCACAACTGAAGATCAACAAACACCTGCAGCTCGACAACGAAAAACTGAAGCACGAGATCGCGCAACAGAAGCTCGACATTATACAAATGAAGCACGATATCGCCCAACTGAGGCACGATAACGAACGACTGAAGCGCGTCAACGAGAACCTCAACGCACAACGGGAGACCGCTGTGGAGGATAGGATCCAATATTTGGAGGCCGTCACTCGGCAAATAGGTGGGTTACAAAGTGAAAAAATGTTCAATTAATGTTTAATTCACCCATTTGTGATATGATGCTCATGTGACAGTGCCCCCAACGTGCGAGAGTCTCGCAAAACTTGGTGTAACACGGTCAGGAGCCTACCTTGTGGATCCAGATGGGGTGCTACGAGGCGATCCACCCATACGAGTTTTCTGTGACATGGACACAGGTAATAATGACAGTATATATATAGGGTGATTTGAAGGAACGCTCGACCGTATTCTAAGGGAGAAAAATAGCTTCATAAATGCCAGCAGACATAACATATGCTTCTATTTGCAACGGAGTCCGAGAAAGGTGAGCTTTAATTCGGTCTTGGAGGCGCAACGCGGCCCCCAACCGCGCCACATGCTAACTTCCTTACAGTAATTATTATGTTACGACCTCATTTTGATGGAACAAAAATTTTCAAGGGACGGATGGATTCAATTGATACTTGACTTGAGAGAGGTCCATGACTCTAACATGTCTTTTTTTTTTCCACATATCGCAATATTGTATCGCATGCTGATAAAGGACGCTGTTGTCGACCGGAGGCCCTATATCATCGTGCTACACCGCATTATAGCGGGGAAAACAACCTTTTAAGGCCTATTTAAAGGCCCATTAGTCTCTTTGACATATATCGGTTGAATCACCTTTCGGAAAGATAGTCCTGAAACAATTTTTAAAAATATGAATTCGGTCAAAATCAATTTAAGGCGAAAACCGGGCAAAATAATTTGTTTCAACTTTGAAATGATGGAGATAAACCATTACTGCACTTGAAGTATAACGATCCACCTGTAAACTTTATGGCGGGACCTCGTGGCTCAGAGATTTGTAAAAAAAAAAAAAAAAACCAATAATCTCAATCTCAATATTAAAAATGCGTTAATCGTATCGTTTTAGCGCGGTACGAACCTTACTTTCTCCATTAGAAAATTGCAGGGCGTATTTAATGAATCGCCCACATGTATGAACGGGATAATCTGACATATGATTCAGTTATTGCTTCTCGGGTTGCTTCTTCAAAATTTCCCCATTCCCGTTCATAGATCCACCTTCAACCAACGTTCTCCACGATTCGATGGAAACCATGGAGGTAGGTCATTGTCCGGATCCTGGCTGCTACGGTCGCAGAATCGCCTATCATGCTTCAATGAAGCAGATGCAGGCGTTGATCGATCGGTCGGAGTCGTGCAAGCAGCAAATAAGAGTGAGTCGACGCTTTCGAACTATCTCCGACGACGCCTCATTCTTTTCACCGTTATCGAGAGCAATGAATCCCATATGTAAGCGAGTACCTCTTCGTGGCTGGAAGGTTGAGAGAAGGAACAATTGAATGCATTCTTCAAGCAAGACATTTAGTCACTTAATTGAAGGGCCAAAAGGAAATGGAATGGAAATGTGGTCTATTTGGGGAAAAAAAAAAAATTTAAATGTTTGGAAAGGAAGAATGGTCGATCCATACATAGACTATCACTTTTTCAAACTGGCTGCTCTTTTTCGGAATGAAAAAGGATAACATAGAAACACGGTTAGGGTCTGTTATGAACTCAGGTCAAGGTGACAAGCTTAAAAACCACTGTGCATTCGGAAAATAGACGCGACATCAAATGCAACCTAAAAGGTTTCTGTTTTTTTTTTCTCAATGTACCTTTTATTCCTCTAGCAGATCTGAGCCAACATCCATATTTAAAAGAACGAACAATTATTGAGGGGCTGAAAGGAAAACTGCCTAATCTTACAAATTTGAAGAAAGAAATGGAAACCTATGCTAATAAACAAGGCTGGCTAAATGTTCCTCCAAAGACAAGTAACCTAGAGGCCTTGTTTAAAAAAAAAAATCCATCACAATAACCAGTGCTCAAGTTTCAGAACAATCATCGGAGTTTTCATTTTCACCTCTAGGGAAACAATTTCTTGAAGGTAAACCACTTCTCCATTTAGCCCTTCAATCGTTTCATTCTCCTTGAAGCAGTTGCATCCGTGAAGCCCTTAGCAATTTCTCCCCTGTTTCTGGTCAAATATGTCAATTTTTTCCATATTCACCAAAATGGGGCAAGGAGTTAAATTTATTCCCCTATTTCGTGGAAAATGTTGGGCGTTTTGGTATGTGGCGTTTGGTATGATATGTGATGTTGACCCAATTCACTTAACTTCTGAACTGGTTATATTCCAGAAGTTACCCTACATTTCTTCGGAATAAGTGCCATCATTATTCCACATGAAAAAAGATTGATATATTATCGGCAATTCCTAAATGACATGATTTTATTTTCCTCGTAGTACGACTGCTTTTCCGCCGCTCTGACGACTTCAGGCACCAACTATGCATGGTGGATGGATCGTCGCGGCGACCCTCAGTATTATTGGGAAGGTTCCCATGCAGGGGAACATACATGCAACTGCGGCCTGACCGACAACTGTGAGCATTCGACCCAAGCCTGCAATTGCGATGCAGATGCCCCCAAATGGGAATCAGACTCGGGCACCATCACCAACGCCACAGCACTTCCCATCACCGAACTCCGATTCGGCGGGCTGCAGTCCGAGGGCCAAAAGGCGAAGCACACTCTGGGAGCATTGGTCTGCACTGGGCGAAATCCGCCGAGCAGCCCAGCAGGATCGTGCTCCTCGCTCCGCCAAGCTGGACACACTGGCACAGGATATCACCTGATCAGCACGAAAAAGGGGCTATTGGATGTAGTCCTATGTCGAATGGATCTAGAAGATACCGACGAAGGGTTCCAGCTGGCCACCGGTGCCCGCATCGCCGAGGAGCGCGTTTATTTCGATGCCTATCGCATATCAAACTGGTCAAATGCAGGGATAATTTCATTCGAAGGGACCGAGTTGAACATGGGCAACGGAATGGATGTGAACACTGGGATTTTCACCGCACCTCTGGACGGTATCTATGCATTTCATCTTCACTTCGAGAGTCTCGTTTTGAAGGATTCTTTTTCAACGAGAGTCTCCGTACATCTCAGAAGAAACGGAGCACCTCAAGGAAGATTAAATGTCAATTTCGGAGGATTCATTTCCTCGGGCATGAGGAGCATGCCAGGCCAATCCGTTCTGCTCCCACTCAATTTGGGCGATGAGGTCGACGCCTACTTGCTGAACGGAACGATTTTCTCAGACGAAAGCCGAAGCGTTCATTTTGTGGGATATTTGTTGCATCCCATGTAGAATAAAAAACGGAATCATACCGAACGCACTTTCACAGTTTCCTCAATTACGTGATTTTAAAACCTGTCTCCCTTGTCTAAGAATTGCACAAAATTAAAAACTGCTTTCATTTTTAAAACAATCTTCAATTTGCATCTTTGCTCCTGAATAATGATCCTCTCTGGCCCGGAATTGCTCTCGAAGTCGCGAATTTATACGGAAGTTGCACAGAAAAATGTTTTTGCAAGAAACGGCAGTTAGATACCCAGAAATATACCCATTCCGTTAGCGACATGCCCAACACCTAGGCGAGTCTTAGGAAGTGACTCAAGGCGATGTAGTCGCTAACAGCAGTTATGCACACATTAGTTCAACCTACTTGTGAATCATTCCAATCGGAGAGAGAATAATTACAGCTTAGCCAGAAAAATAACGGAATTAAGCAAAGAAACGCTCTGAGGCCCTTTGCCATTTAGCCAACACATCCCGGAAGGACGTTAAAATGTAACCGGAGGTAGACAGTGACCCTTCATTACGTGAAGATTTAGAGATTCATTATCGACTCACGGGCAACACAGGATAGAAGAACAGAAAAAAAAACAGTAGAGAGTTTCACCCATTCGTTTCCCCTCCTCGGTTACTTTCAGACGCGCGAGGCCTTTCTAGGCCATAGGCTAGGCAGTACACTTGTGGATGTGATCAGGTCAGGAAGCTATGGTTTCTATTTCTGAGTGTTCCCCTTTTCCCAAAAACAGTAAAACCAAAATTAGTAAAACCATCGCTTCCTGACTTACTCGCATCCACAAGTGTGCTGGCATGCGTCCCGTTGCCCTATTTATTAAAATTTCGGCACCAAATTACTTCTCTTACTCTATCTGTGCACCTTGGTTGGGAGCAGCTTACTGCCCAGCCACGTAATTGCCTATTTAGCCAATATCTTTCTTTAATATTAGGTTCATTACTATATATATATATATATATATATAGCGGGTGCGACAGCCTACTAGGGACAAACTCATGAGCAAACTTTAAATTTCCCGAATTTTGTATTTGATAAATTCTTGGCTTCAAGGCTTGTATTGATTAAAGTTATATTAGGTGCAGTTTATTTAACACTATCAGCACGCACATATTTTCCACACACACTGTGCAAAAGTAAAAAACTGTAGCACTATTTCACTTTTTGTCAAAAGTGGAGTAAGGTTTATGCAAAGTCCGAGCTCCACTTGTTAAACTGAAACTGAAACATGCAAATGGTAGTGCAAATCATTGACTTTCAACGCCACTATTACTCTTTGCTGCTTCAACTGTATTGCTAGTTCCAACAGCAAAGCTGTTCACAGCGCTTCACGTCCTCACTGAGACCTGGGCCAGCCATGTCAGAAAATCCGCAGGTGGCTTGCTAGGAATTACCTTCTGCGCGCAGAGTGATATTTAGGAGCAAAATTGAACAGTTCGGTCCATCGGAAGCTATGGGTATTTAACCTTTAAACTTCTGCGCGCAGAGTGATATGTAGGAGCAAAATTGAACAGTTCGGTCCATCCGAAGCTATGGGTATTTAACCTTTAAATAGCAGGGTTATTTAGCGGAGTCCTAGGCCACTGTCTGTGACAATTTTCAAATAGTTATTGCCAGCCGAAAGCTCAAAATTTGCTGTAAAGAAAATGTCCCAAGTAGGCTGTCGCACCCGGTATATAATTATATGGATGTGTGTATACATTTTTTAAAGACACCCTGTATATTATGTACCTATTATTAGAGAATTATGAATTTGTTTTAACAGCTTGCACCGTCCACCTCCTTCCCCGGAATCCTCATTCACTTCCTCATTGGAGGAAGTGAGATCGGCCATGTGCGATGTGAGTGACTCCTGCCACCGCAACTGATTGCTTCCTGCCTGGTTGCCCGGTGTTTCAAACCTTGCTTCAGGTTGCGTGCAAACAAAAGGTTGCAAAACGACTTCAAGGCTGCACCGTTATTGGAAGCTGGAGGTACTAAAGGTACTGAAGTATATAATCTTTAGCATGCGTCTCTCGATGGCTGCAGAAAGAACGAAATGTCCTGATCTTTCCCACGATGGTTGTAATTCTCTCCTATATTTTCCCTGGTGTTTCAAGAACGACGGACTTTCCGATCGCCCGTCCTCATCGGGTTGCATCAGTCGTCAACCGAGCCGCAGTACGATGTCTTAAAAGAGCGAGCTACGGCCGAGGAGGCCAAAGGGGCTCCCGAGTCTTCCGCGGAGCCTCGCCACGGCCACGACACCGACCGAACAGACGGCAGGGCAGCAGGACCCGTTTCCGCCTCTCTCTGCACCGTTCGCAACGGAAGCCTCTAAGTTTCTGCCGCAACAGAGCTTCCACTGCCGAAGTCCGTCGCACGAGCCCCACTGCCGGAAAAATCCATTGGCTATAAAAGTGAAACGCATTCCAACACGCGTCGATTGGGCGTCGAAAGGGTGTTGGAATGGTGTTGCCGGGGGTGGAAAGGGAGTTGACAGGTGTTGGCTTTATCTCTCCCCCACTTCTGCTGTTTTTGTGGTTCCGGTAACTAAATTGCGCATAATCGTTGTTATTTCTACTGACCTGAAACGCTTCAGGCTGGCGAAGAGTCACCGATCAGCTGATTTAGGGAGGAAATTTATATCATTCGCTCTGTCGCTGCATTTACTTTGCAGATTCCACGCTCTTAATTTCTAGCCGTTTCTCGAGTTTTCCAGAACTTTGCTTGGATGCCTTCGTCGCCGTCGATCCGGATTTTTCAAGTGACTCTCCGTCGCCAGACCCGATTTCCCCCTTTTTTTTTTTTTTTTTTTTTTTTTTTTTTTTTAAACCGAACGGCAATGTCACCGTGCTGACGTCGTGAGAACGGCCTGGAAAATTCCTATGTCTCTTCGCTTCGAGGCAGTCATTTTAAGTGTGTCTTCACCGGAAACCGAATTCCGCCGCGTCTTCGAAGCGTCTTCTGTGCTAACAGGGGTGCTTCTTTCGTTTTTTTGGGAGGGATTTCGCAGAAACGAAGAAAATCTGAAAATATTTATGAAGAAATGCGTGCCTTTAAGTTCTACGAAGACTTACGGTCCATTAAAAGTAATTTAAAACATAGGAAAGCTTCGAAATAAAATGCTTTTCGACTTAGCAAAAAAAAAAAAAAAACTCCACGGGATTTTGAACCAATATGAGATTCAATTTTCGATCTCTCAAGTCCTTCTCGTCCTCGCTGTCGAAAGCCAGGGTTTGTTATACCGAACCAAGACGGGACGGGGCGGGGCGGGGCGGGGCGGGGGTTTGCCGACTTGAAACCGAATGAAATCGGATGGTTGAGACAACTGCAGTCATCCGATCCTCTTTAAGAATAAAAAGGAATTGAGACGGGGAAGGGGATTTTCCTTCAAGCATATCAAATGGAGACAACATTGTAAAGGATTCATCTTGCTAGAGAGTGGATAGTAAAACATCTTTTTCTTTTTTTAAAGAATCATTGCAGTCGATCTTCGAGCCATTATTTACCAACTAAAAATAAGACGAACGAATTCGATAGGAGTCGATTCTGGAGAGAGCGCAGCTCGCGGAAATGGACGGAACGAATCGATCGCAACCGAGTTCATCGAGTTCTCGTTTATTTTCATCGTCGTGAAGTGCATGGAAGGGACCGCACGCGCGAAACGCGAACCGTCGCGACGCGTCCGGAAGATTCTCGGTCAGGTACTCGTCGGTCGCCGACAAGCACTTCACAGCCGACAAACCGACATAACTAGGTGCGATCGATTTTTTGAGGATTGCGAAACCCCGGTTTCCTAAGGGAAAATTTCCAGGATAGGCCGTCCCTTCTCTTTTTAACTTCCTTTTGCCTTGCCCCATACCTGCAGGCTGTCTCTAATATTCAGACTCTCATCTCTAAGTTCCGCGCTTCTGGGTCCAAAGGTTGGGCATTTTCTGTTGCCCTTGGGTAGTTTCGAACAATTTCGGCACCAAATAACTTCTCTTACTCTATATATATATATATTATTTTTTTAACATTAAATTATTCAGAGAGGGACGATGCTTAGTGTGTACCTAACAGATGACCTTACTGGATAAAGGAATTCCTGCCCGTCGTCAGACAAACGTTACCCGTGAGGCAGCGAGTAAAGCAAGATGGCACGTGCTCGCTCGACCTCGGAGCGGCGTAAGTTGGTTTTTAGGTGATACTGGAAATCTGATAACGTGTATGAGGTGCAAAGAAGGTGGAGAAGCGAACGCTTACACTCTTAAAAAAATTCCGAGCGTTTGGGGAGTAAAAAGTGAGCACACCGTGAGCTCTTCGAATTTACTCTCTTATTATTCACCAAATGCTCCCTCATCGTTCGAAACAAAGTGAACACCTTGAAGTTCTTCGCCATGCCACTAGATGGAGATCTCGCTTTTCGCACACTGCACAAAAGTTCCCTTCCCTCTTTCCCTGGAATCGTTCCTCGCAGGATTGTTTAGTATCTCGACATATGTCTCGCCTAGTCTCATTATAGGAATCAATAAACACGGACACTCCATTTGTTATCCGCATATTTAACACATATTCATAGAGTCCAGGCCATAAACAAGTTCGTATTCCTATCGAGAACCCTTTTGGAACGTGGTTCTCAATCTTTTTTATTTGCGGCACACATGAGGACATTTGAACTTTCCACGGCACACCTAGCCATTACTTGTGCTTGCTTCGCTGAACACAGCAGTTTCATACGAATCATGGTAATGCAACTATCAACTCGTTTTCCACTAGAAGATGGCGTTCCCGATTGCTTTTAAGCGTTTTAATTTTAGTTTCTTTATTTTTTTTGTCAACTCTCAAATCTCACGGCACACAGTTTGAGAAACACTGATCTAGAATATAAAGAGAGTGTCCGCGAACTTCTTTCAGCCATACCTCAATTGAATGAGGAAATGAAAGACCGATACCCGGTACACTTCGCGGAACCATAAGAGGTGGTCCACCCTCTGACATGTGCTGCAATCAGTACAGTCAGTGGTAGGTCAACGCCTGTACGGGACCGAAAGCAACACAAAGCATATATGAGAATCTTCGTATTTGCATGACATTCCTATCACTTTCTGAGAGGAGCGATTTTACTCACGAAGGAGGAGAGCAAATTCGCTCCTTTCCTAGAGTGAAAGGGGAGTGAAACTGGAGTTAGGGATTTTACTCTCTTTTTTGAGAAAAATCACTCCCCTTTTTCTAAGAGTGTAAATGGCTTCATCGCCGTCGATCCGGGATTTTCAGATGATTCTCTGTTGCGAGGTTCAAGGAATTTTTTTTTTTTTTTTTTTACCGAGCGCAATGTCACCTTGTTGCGAGAACGGCCTGGAAAACTCCGCTCCATGGAAGAGACGTCACCGCCTTGACATCGGAAATTCCAAGCTGACACGTATGACTCTTCGGATCATTCTGGCGCAGTCACGTCGTTCGACGGAAATCGGGAAGAAAAAAAAAAAAAAAAAAAAGGATCTCCTCGAGAACGCTTTCAGCATGGGGAATTCTCGCAAATTTTCTCTCGCCTGCCTTATTGTTGATTCGTGGGCGTGAAAATTTACAGCCGGAGTGCAAATTTGACAAATATGCAAATTTGCATCCTTGCGAGGCTCCCTTCGGTTCTTCCCTCTTTTCCGGCTGTTTCGTACATGAGACGCAAAAGATTCCAGCGAATTGATTTCTCATAGCGATATGCGAATTAAGATCCATCTTTCCCGTTTGAAATTCATAAAAAAAGTGTATTTCACGAAATACGACGGACTTCAGGAATCGCGAAAATCCACGAATCTGAAGAGATAGAAATTTTATCATATATTTTTATGTTTTAAATGTACGCTAAGATCTTACCCGACAAGATATTAATTTATTTTTTGTTCATAGCTACGCCAGAAATTCCCTTCCAAGCAGTCAATTGCTTACAGTGCGGCTAAATCGACCTCACTATTTCCTTTCTTGATGCAAGAGGAAAGCTCTCAGGAGATGAAACAATTCAAACAGGCACAGTTCCCGTGGTTCCGAAACTTCACTCGTCTAATACTAGTATATGGCCTAGAAAAAGAAAGTGACTAGTAGTCAGGAGTCGAAGCGTGGCAATATTTTGGCACGGGGACAATGGTTCCGGCTCACGCGTTCCTCACGTTAGACCATTTACGGGGACGGAAACAGCATCGTCCACGGGGACGGGAGGTTCGTGAACGAAGACCGTTTGAACGGCAACGGATTTCTCCGTCTCCTGGAAGGGCATGCATGCATACGGCACCAAAATATGCGCAATAGCATCGGGATTGCGTCAAGCCGACAACGCGCGATTGCGACCCTTACCTCCTGCCTGAATCAGAGGATCGCCATCCCCATCGAACGAATGGAGATTCCAAAAGGGACGTCCTTCTGGGAAAGCGGCGGACCGCTGCGTCACCCTCCCCCGCCCGCCTCTCAAAAAGGCCCCGTCCTCCTCCGGGACCCTCGCAGTTCCGACACCTCGCGACCCTCGAGTGAGTCCCGAGTGAGTTACCACCGATCTCGCGAGCGAGGCTTAGAGGCTCGCGTCGAGTAGCGACCGTCTCGGCCGTGATCCGATTCTGCGTTTACGTCATGTATAACATTCCAGAGAAAATTGACACGTAATATAAAATTTTGAAATAATATTCAGATCTGAGTCTTAAAGAATAACTTAAACTTCACGAAGGTGCTAAAGCCAGTATTCGAACGCAAATGCCGGTCGCCTCATCTTGAAGGAGCTTTCATTTCCCAATAGATGAAGATCGAGGTATATCTGAGTACTAGAGATAGGAAAATTCCCCCCTGATGATTGAAGAAATAATGAAAAAGGTTTAAAATAATGAATCATTTCAACGATGGGACGGCAAGGAGTGTTCCATCGAATTCTCAGAGAATTTACGAACGAATGCGGATCCGCATTCCTTCTTTTTTTTGTTTTCTCGGCGTTAGTCGTAAGCGTCCAGTCAGTCAGAACAGCTTCAGGGACGGATCCTTGGGGCACGCCGTAGGGAAGGACCGACGAAAGGAAAAGGCTTTGGTTTCACGGCACTGTTCGTCGGTTGACAGGTTCTCAAATACTCCAGGAATTATGGGTTAGCCCGGGGGTGGGAACTTTTCTCTACAAGGTTGCTTGTGAGTTTCTGTTCCGGTGTCTTTAGTCGTGGGGCGAATCCCCACGTCAGTCTCAGATTATAATAATTATCACATTCATCCGCTTTCGATTGTTTCTTACGCCCGTTTACAAACATACGATCTAATTCGCGTTACAATTCCGAAGGCGCCACTTGTCCAAGGGCTTAACGCTAATCCGGATCATTTTCTTCCATTCACTGTCTAGAACCTTGAATTTCATTTCACCTGAAATCGTGAGCGATCGGAAAAATGATCGCAATTCTTCTCATCGCAATCGTCTCCCTGGCTACCGCAAATGGTGAGTCTCAACTCCAACCAATAAATTACTCAGAAATAATTATAAAAAAAAAACAGGTGTATTTCGTTTTCGACTGTGTAATGAAGAGTTAACAAAATGGAAAAAAATGTGAAAATTATCCAGTAAATCCTATCCGACTTGACGTAGTCGACAGTCATCACAAGTTATATTTGTCGGATGAATCTCCTCGCCGGAAATCAAAGTTTAAATTCCAGCAAGCATCGAAAACACGCAACACATGAGAGGTAATGAAGGCAATGAAGAGAATGAACCATGTTCTCTCCCCCCTCTCCCCAGCCGCAGGGACGTGCCCGGCGAAGAACAACCAACGATGCCCGAGGTCTGCTCCGAAAGTGTGCACCAGCGACACGGAATGCACCCAGGGCCAGGTCTGCTGCCAGGGGTGCGATGCGAACAAGGTCTGCATGAGAGCCGGTACGAACCAAATTCTCCACCTAGGTCATATTTTTACCCTTAATTTATTTTTCCCCATTTCATAGTTTGAAGAAAGTTTGAGTAATATAGATTACTAGGAGATTTCCCTCTTTACTCTCCGCCACAAAATGGAAAGATAGAGAGGAAAGGGTCTGCGGTTTCTTGCCTCTTTTCTTTCTTTTTGTCTGTCTTTTCTTTCTTAGAAATACCTGAAATGCGACATCTCTATATTTTTCAGACGAAAATGAATGCCCAGAATCCGACGATATCCATTGCCCAAAGGTGTGTTCAAGTGATTCAGACTGCGAGAACGGATTTCTCTGCTGCGACGAATGCAACCGCAAGATCTGCATGCCACCCAGTACGGTTTCGGATGGCTTTCGCCCCGTCTAATCCACTCTTCTCCCATTGCAAGCACCAAAGCATGACACATACATTTTTTAACATTTTGATGAATAGCTGCTAGTCGTGATTCAAGCAATGCTAGCAATTGTTAACTCATTAACATCAGTCTTTATCAAGCATTGCCAGTAAAATGGACATCGTAATGGCGGTGCCATTCAAGTGCCATTCCATTTCAATGACAACATGAAGTTTGACATCTTCAATTATTTCCGCAGTGATGAGCTGCAGCGACACGACCTGCGCCAGCGGCCAGACTTGCGCGATGGTCCAGCCCAACTGCGACCATCACAGCGCCTCCTGCTTCCTCAAGCCAACCTGCCTCCCTGCAGGTAGGCTGTCAGCCGCCGCCGGGTCATCCGCCCGGACTGTCCTCGGGACCCTCAGCGAGGGATTTCGCTTAATCTCGTTTCTCCGCAGGTGCCAGTACGTGCAATGGCGTACAATGCGAAACGGGACGCGTGTGCGTGCTGCAAGAGGCGAAGAGCTGCACCGCCCCGCCGTGTAACCCTACTACCAAGTGCGTCAGACCACGAGGAGATCATGGTCATCCGCATAAACTTGTTAAACGTCATTAACTGGCCCAAATTATGGGGTAATGAAAATGTTTCCTTTTCCTTTTCCGTTTCCAATTCTGAACAATCTTCCAAATTCTCACTGAAGTTAACGCACGTACCAAATTTCACTTACACATTTCTTCGGCGCACATGCCTTCAGCTGGCATTTTCCCCTGTAAGCTATGAATTTCTTCATTCTGGAATCAATCTCAACTTGAACCACATAACTAAATAAAGGCTGCTTTGCAATCTCAACTGCAGTGATTATTTCGACGAGCATGACTGACTGATCGATGGACAAGATCCTTCTGACTGAAGACTCAATGGAAATCCCATGACCAGTCTCTCAGGTTTAAACCTAAGCGATTGCAGCGCTGTGGAACCACCGACTATGCTCGCACGGCTTATCGTCCTGAGCGGAATCTCCGCCGAATAAGTGATGAGCTAACAGTATCAATCTTGGTTACTCGGACCTGCAATAGATGGTGGGCGGCCGTCCGGAAATGGAAAAATTGATTGAAAATTTCTCGCGTCTTGGAAAGTTGCTCAGTGGTGCCAACGCAGCGGCCCAGGGGGAAAACGAATGATTGATTGAGCTGATAAGCGACTCGTTTCATATTTCAATCTCTCAGCACTAGAGAAGCAAATCTTACCTTATAATATAAAACATTTTCCAGAATGCAGCTTGAAGACGTTGGCCGCTGATGTCGAATGTTTCAATAAATGTCGGAAATGATGGAGTGTTGAATGGGTCGATTTCCTAATACCGTGAAGAAAGGGTTCCAGGGTGCGAAGAAAGGGTTCCAGGGTGCGAAGAAAGGGTTCCAGGGTGCGAAGAAAGGGTTCTAGGGTCCCAAGAAAGGGTTCCAGGGTGCCCAAAAATGGTTCCTCTTAGTGCATTCATTCATTAAGCTTAAACGTTAATGAAGTCTCTTGTACGAATTGGTTCAAATTTACTTAGATCTTTAGGAACTATTGCGAGGAAATGCAATAAGAGCGGGCACGGGAAAAAAAAATGCACTTCACTATATTCAAAGGCAAAACCACAAAGTACATATCAAAATGAGAACGGCTGCTTCTCCAGAGAAGGCTTGTAAGGGCTGGATGGAAACTCACCTGATTCGCAGGCGTCTCCCCGTCACCTCTCGCTGAAGTCCCGTCCGTGGCAATGGTTCGCAAGTGGTGCGTGCGTGCGTGCGCTACTTCCTCTAATCGAATGTTCGAGTTCTTCTTGTGCCTTCCTTTTCCAACGATTGGAATCGAGGAATTTTTTGGTCGAAACGCTCTCGATACATACTCATCATGTTCATTTGTAACGCGATGCTAAGATATTGTTTCATGCTTACATTTACGAGCTAAATTAAGTGTTACACTTACAGCAGATGTTGCTTTCGCAAGCCAGTGCGTTTGTGGGATGTAGGGCATCCAGCCACGAAGTGGGACATTATAGAATGGAAAATACAAAATAGGGATCGCTAGGTCCACGATGCGTCATTGCCATCGAACATTCCTGCATGACTCACAGAATCGCATCCGACCTCTCCTCCTCTCTCCGCCCTCGAAAAGGGACGTCCTTAGGGGAAAGCGGCGAACCGCCGCGTCCCCCTCCGGCTCGCCCCCGGCAGTCCCCCAGCAGTCCTCCGGCAGTCCCCCAGCAGTCCCCCGGCAGTCCCCTAGCAGTCCCCCGGCAGCCCCCCAGCAGCCCCCCGGCAGCCCCCCAGCAGCCCCCCGGCAGTCCCCCGGCGTCGAGTGGATCGGGAGGAGTCGCGGGTCCCTAGTGAGTTGCCGCCGATTTCGCGGCTCTTGCCGGAAAGGGGCCGTTTTCTCCGTGAGTGGATTTGGCGTTAGCATAATTTCTGACACTCCGAAGAAAGAAATATTGTCTTGCTTAGTACAATATCGAAAATTAAGATTTCTATTATAAAGGGTGTACCATTTGTCAGGGATCATGATTTGCTATGGCCTAGCCTAAGGCCCATAGAGGCATATCCTGGAAGGCCTTGCGCGTTAGCCATCGCCATCAAAGCCATCAAAGTCTACGCCTTTCTTGGTCATTCACAAGGGTCGGACTACTTTTTAGCCGTGTGAGTCATCTTAAGATTGAGCTAGGTGCTTGTGGGCGAAACATTTTAAAAACAACATAAATTTTCCTGAAGTTGTCAGCAGACATGGAGTGTTTGATACATGAGAAAAATGAGAAACAACTAAGAAGTTCAACCATGACCCAAGCCTTTTGGCTCTTAAGCCAGAGATTCCTGACATATGATACACTTTTTACATTAACGATCGCGAGAGGCTACAAATTTCGAGGGAGAACTGACTTAGGCCTAGGCCTAACCCACGGAAAGACGGGTTGATACCACCAACATGCAATTTCTTCCTCCGAGGAAGCAAAAGGAAGAACTAGTAGCTGTTGGATTGCGTGGTATAGGATAGAGGCGACAGTTTTGCGTTTTTTGCTTTTTCCCGAAATTCACGCCGAAAAACTATTTCCTCAAATATTTTGCACATGCCTGTCAGCCACCACATTAATTATGCATACCCATCAGTATGAGTGAATTTGGGCATTTTCACTTACTGGTAGTATTAGACCTAGCAACCCTGAATTCCTTAATTTTTCCAATGATATTTCTTAACAGGGCATCGATCCCATACTTTTCTATTCGACCTACGCACGTTCATAATTGTTGACAAAAACTGGTGTCCAGAAACTGGAACGAGGCCGTCCACAAATAGGAACTTCGTGAAAATCAACACATATCCATTTAAACAGCTATTTTCGAACAAGCATATTTTAAATATTTTATTTTAGGGTATGGGCATCGAACTATGATAAGTGGCCTCCCATTGAAACCAATCAAGCGGTTTCCCGGTTACCCCAGCGACCGTAATGCAATTTTCAAGAGGAAAATCTCCTTAACCCGTCCACAAACTGGCGCCTTTACCCTAGATTAAGTTGAACTTTGAAGGTGCATGCCCTGTGGAGACTGACATAGCAGGCCTGTATGAAACCCTCGGAAAAGCGCTGAGACCTACTCTAATCGTTACCCAGTCGCATCCAGGAACTTTTCGGCCAATCTGACCGAGATTCCTGTTGCTAGAGCCTGATGCGCAGAGCCTTAGGACCGATGCCATTCTGAGTCGTAGGCTCGATGGAAGGACTAGGGTTGATTCAAATCTGCGCACTTTCGGATGCGAACCGGATACTTATCCGGTATTTTTCACGGAACCGAGTGATTTCCCGCACTCATTGCGGTTCAGAGTGGCTGTGCCCATTCCACTTAGGTCAATGCTATTTCTTTGCACGCACTTTCTTCGACGGAATGGGTACATGTAAACCTAGGGGCTGCATTTATGGAACGGCTTATTTTCTCATGTACAGGTGTGTATAGTCAAAGAAAGAGTTCGAAAAGAGGACTTCCTCAGAGTCCTTGTGACCGACTGTAAACATGGATATACTTTTGGAACTCCCCATATTCGACAAAGAATTATTGCATTTAAACACCAAAGAAATGAGATTGTTCAGCTTTGAGAAGGAATGCCTTGAATACGTTCTTCTTCGGTCATAATGCGCCGAAGGAGCGTCCATGGCGAATTTGTCCGAAGGGCAAAGTCGCTAGTAAAGAATAACTCTCGTTTCACGAAGATGTTGAAGCCAGTATTCGAACGCAAATGTCGGTTTCTTTTTCTCAAACGGTGTTTTGTATCGCAATTGATGACAATCGAGAAATCTCTGAGTATTTGGACTAGAAAAATTCCCATGAGGAAAAGCTTAAAATGGTGAATCAGTTGAACGATGGCACATCAAGGAGTATCCAATGAAATTATTAGCGAATTTACTTACGAATCTGCCTCTGCACTCGTTCCTTTCTTTTCTTTCCGGGTTTACTCTAGGAATTCAGCCTGTCCAAATATACTTTGGGTCGCGCGGTACGTTAGCAGGGAAATCGTAAAGAGGATACGTTTTTTTTCTTTAGGTACACGGGACTTTACGTCCTAAGTTCACAGATTTACCAGTAAAGTACCTAGTATTTACTAGTAAAAGATTTACCAGTAAAGAGTATATCTATATTTTAAAGTGGGAACTTTTCAGCACGCAATAGTTTGCGGATCAGTTCCTAGTTCTATTCCCCCAAATTCTAAAGTTCGTCCCAGGTTATTAGAGGCTCCCCGGATATGGAACAATTCAAAGATGCGCCAGTCCCTTGGTTCCAAAACTTCACATGCTTAATCATTATATGGCCTGGAAAAATGCATGCTTATGGCACCAAAATATGCGAAATAGCATCGGGATCGCGTCAGGCCGACGATGCACCGTTGCGACCGGCCCTTCCTGTCAGAATCTTAGAATCGCCATCCCCATCGAACGAGTGGAGATTCCAAAAGGGGAATCCTTCGGGGAAAGCGGCGGACCCCCGCATCACCCTCCCCCGCCCGCCTCTCAAAAAGGCCCCGTCCTCCTCCGGGACCCCCGCCGTGCTCCGCGTCGAGTGGGTCGCCAAGCGACGCGGGTCCCGAGTGAGATTCAGCCGATCTCGCGACTTGCGTCGGGTAGCGGCTCTCTCCGTCGTGATCCGGTTCGGCATTTGCATCATTTCTAACATTCCAGAGATAATTGACTTATAATATACAATTTGAAAATAATATGTATTCATAGCATTTGAAGGATAATTTGTATTTCACGAAGATGCTGCAGTCTGTATTTGAACACTGATGCGGTTGCATCTGCTTGAAAGAGCTTTCGAGATCGAGGCTAAACGATCGAGAAA